AAGCGTAACATTTTAAATACTACGCTGTTCAATGGTTTAACTTCTAAGTCGCCAGTAACAGCACCTCAGGATAAACTACAATTGGAATTCTTCTTCAGGGACATAAAAATTAGATAGCAGAGTATCAGAAAAAAGAAGCGAATTTGAGGAGGAAATTTTTAATGTAAAATCCAAGAGACAATATATATCTGGAAGGGGAAAAAAAAAAGCAGTAACACAAACTATTGATTGCCAATATGAACAGTATCACAAATTCAAGGATAGAATCTGGCAGAGCATCTTTTACACATAACACTTACTCATGTTTGCAGTGGTCCAGCTATCATACAAGACTATCGATCAAAAAGGCACTTTTACTGCAAATAGGGAATCCTAGAACAAAGCCAGTCCTTGCCAGCTTCATTTTCGCTTAGGTATTTCATGCTCCTGGTTTTTGTCACCAGATATAGACCTCTTCGTTGCACTCTAACAAACACAGAATTACGGTTGGGGAGCAGGGTATGAAGCCCGGTACGTTCCCAACACGCTGGGAAGGTCCCCTGCTCACGAGAGAGGCACAAGGACAAAAGCATGAGAGTATGGAAGAAGAGTCAGCCCAAGTTGTCACCAGTAATACAGTGCTATTAGCTGTTTTAATTGGACTATAGCAAGTATGCTACAAGTATCACAGTAACATTAACTCTGCACGTACTCTACAGATAACAGAAATGGTGCTAGGGCTGTCAGGTTTGCACCTAATCCTTCTCTAAAAGTACACGTTACTGTCCTTTGTTACCATATTCATAGGACAGCTTTGGCCTTGAGAATTGCATTCTTTTATAGTTGTCCTCTTAGATCTCAGCAGAAGGACCACGAAGCTGATACTGGATTGCTAGGCAGGCACTGCCTGGCGTGAGGGGACTCAGGGGAGTGCCAACAGGACATATATGCCAAGGAAGGGAAACAGCACACAGCGTGCAGAGGTCAGGTGGAGGAGGTTCATATGGCTGACAACTTAATTACTCTGCAAAATCATTAAGCGCTGGAGATGTGCCATTAGAAGTTCTGGCACATGCAACTGCTAAAGGGATAATTAAAATGTGCCTGGGAGGTTTTATTCCAAGTTATTATTACAGCACATGGAAGTGACTTTATTTTTTCATGTAAGTTTATTACGCCTCCCACCTGCAGAAGACTCTTTCCATCTGTCGCTGTGTCTGTGCCAGCACAACCCAAGTGCATAAGCTACAACCTCCCTCTACAGTCCCACACACGTCCTTCTCTTCTACCCCTACTGCATTCACACCTCCCCTCTCCAGGTACAGCCCCCCACACCACCCTACCTGCCAGCGACCTTGGTGAAACAAGAATAGAGGCAAGAGAGAGGCTCAAAGCCTAAGCACAAGGGTCACAGAAGATGAGGAGATGCACCACCACGAGTAAGAAATGATTCCAGTTGAGGGCCGGGGCGGCGGCAGAGTTTCACTGACCTTAACCTCTCAGCAAGTGAACATCTACAAAGAGATAAATGCCCAGGACTTTCAAATTAAGATCGTGGCTTGTTAAGCAGGGTCTGTTACTGTGCGCCGAGTTCACCACGTGGCACTCGGTTTCTGTCTGACACCCGTGCCACCCGTAACCTTCTCTTCCATCAAAGTTTAACACAACCGCCAATTCAAAGTTCAGGGCAGAGCTGGCAATACCTTTCCAGGAAAATCCAGGTCTTGACCAGATGGAGTTTCAAAAACCTCCAGTCTGCCAAGTAAAATTTTCCAGCACTACTTGTAAGGATCGCGTGGTACAATCCATCACCCGCCTGTCCATGCTGCTGGACCGTCTGGCATCTGACCATTCTGTTGCTGGTGGCAGCAGCTACGCGCTCAGTTTGTGAACACCAGTGGCAGAACCCAGCTTTACGGGCATCCTATGTTTGAGAGCCAGTGTTGGTAGCAGGGGGGTCATCTGGTGTGCTCCTAAGACGCAATTCATCATTCATCCCATGATCAGGTGAAGTTTCCCCATTTCAAATCAGGACAGCCATTTCAGCTACAAGCCACACCTGCCCTGACCTCAGGCTTCATGCTTCCTGCAGTGGTTGCGATGACTTTTCAGTTCTTTTCAAAGTAAGAGTCACCTAGGGAGCCCTGTAGAAGACCATCTTTTTCTCCACCTGCACAAGTAAATAATGCGTTCAGTGTTAGGTAAGAATGAAACTGCTTGGCCCCAAAACAAGGTCTGTCATATTTTTTAAAGGAATTCCCAATAATCCAGAGCTTTTGCTACTGAAACAGGGCTTATGCGCTCCTGGAAGGTACAAGATGCATATTCATAACCTGCAGAGCTTTCAGACATGAAGTCTTCTCCACACAGATACTGCCCTACCCAAACCAACACAGTCTGTCCGACAGAAAGACGGACACAGGCACACAGCTTGTCATTTACAGTTGCTTCCAGGCTAAGTTATGTAGAACCTATGTTCGTGTGTCTCAGCCAGAGGCCCTGGTGAACAGCCTCCATTTTAGCCCTCTCTAACACTCCTCACCCCCAGACACAACAGAGCTCCTTCATCAGTAAGTAAGATAGCAGACAAATACACGTAACCAGACAGAAATTAGCAGACCCTGCAAAAAATACTTTAGCCTAGTGGAAAATTCTGTACCCAGAGGTGTTTTGCTGCAGATTTGATTCCACTTTGGACTCATAAGCAATTAAGCGTCAGAGAAGTTTTATTATATACTTAGGAAAAGAATAAAGATTCAGGTTTTCCAGAGTGAGAGAAGTCTTTCCTTCTCCCGTGCTGCCACCTGGTGACAAATCAGGCTCCAACGTCTAAAACAGAGCAAAAGACACATGTAAACATTAGCAAGTTTTTTCAGACTCCATCACTCACTTGCTGTAGACACGAAACACACTGCTGCTAAGCCAGGCACACAGAAAAGCTGTGTTTTTTAGCTGGTAGATTGCTGATCCTGCAGTCTTTTGCTGCATCCCATCTCTACCTCACAGAATCATAGAATGTTTTGGGTTGGAAGGGACCCCTGGAGGGCACCTCATCGTGCAAAGCTCCCAGCTTACCTACAGCACCTTCTTCCAACTGCAGCTGAAGTCGTAGAACCCAAGAGTTCCCAACCAGGCCCAACTGCCTGACAGTAGCTTTTAAAGGGTCTCTCCAACGGTTAGCAGGACTAACCTGGTTTCTCAAGTCAAGAGGAAATACAAGCTGGAATGTTCTTTGTGGTGCTGGCCCCAGAATTCTAATCATGGGTTCCTACAAGTCTCAGGAGTAATGGAACAGCAAAGTGTCTGTGCTGTTTTAGATATGCATCTCTAGCTCCTGATTATCTATTAATTATGGGGCTGGAGGACAGATATTTCTTTGCAAAACCATCTTTGGCGCAATTGCTGCCTAACCACTACAGTAAATCCCTCCTCCAAACGACAACACTGAACAGCAGCAGTATTTAACTCCTGTCCCTTCTTAAGATCTTCATCTGCTTTTGTGGTGGTTTAATTAAAAGTTCATCTCCGTAAAAAAGTAATACTGAATAACTTAAGATCCAGAGCATGCCAATATCATAATTTAAAAATCACACAGACTACAAGCAACCAGACAGCCCGTGGTCCGGCAGCTGCCTGTCGGCACGCTTGCAGCACCTATAAAAGGTCTGCATGTGCCTAGCACCTGCTCACTGAGGATTATAAAGTGCTTGATGAACTCTAATTAACTCAAGGTGAGAATTAACAGATCTGGATTATGCAGAGACAAACAGCAATGAAATCTTCCAAACTTGACTACCACAATATTGAATGCAAGCTCTACGCCCACCAAAAAGGGCCAGGCACCCTGTCAGAAATGTTACTGCCGGGTAATGGATTGCACCATTTGCGTTTTTGGAAGAAAACACCGTACACGTCAACCAGCAAAGTACCCAGTAACCCCTGCTAACTGTAAGCTAAAAGAACTGAGAGTTGCAAAGTTGAAAGACTGAAGTCTGTTCAAAGCCAGACGCAGCAGTAGCGCAGGTGCAGAAGCAGGGCGTTACCACTACCAGAGGAGGCCTTCGACAGTAAGATTAGTCATCAGAAGGTAAGAAAAAGCCAGAACTTACCCCAGGGTTAGCATGCAGCAGAGACAGCTGAGGGTTCCTTGCCACTGTTCTCTGAACTCTCTCCATGTGGGGCTTTGGTTTAATCTCAAAACTTTGTTCAGGAAAGCTTCTTACTAAACTCCATACACAAGTACTGCAGAGGAACAAGCAGTGGTTAACAATTAGCAAACTCTAGAGTCAGCCAACTGTTGGAAAACATCCAACTCCATGAAACACTAACCAGCTACCGAAGAACTAATCTACAGAAAAAAGGTTGGGGGGCGGGGGGGGGAGTGTTTGCCCAATGCATCTCTTTCCTGTTCACGGTGGTGTATCAGACCAGCCACAAAACAGGCAAACACAAAGAATAGCACCGCGCTTGCCAAGTGCTGCCGATACTTGCAGCGATACGTTGGAACGGCCTGACTGACTCGTCACATATTTGACTGCCAAAAGTAAAACTGATTCTAAAACTGCAATAAAGTCAGGGCCTGTTAAGTTCTACTCGTGTGACTCTCGGCAGACACCAAGAACCAACAACGGCAGTTACCTCTTTTAGTTTCAGATCCTTTCAGAACTTTGACATTGGGATTGTAAATACTGTGGGCATCCTTTTTTTATATCAAAATAGCTGGGAGTAAAAGAAATTGTAGACAGTTTGCCCTTCCACGATTACTGCAAAGGTTTTCATAAGCACAACTTTTATTAGGACTTTTAAGAAACCACTAAAAAAAAAAAATAAATCACATTTTTATTCTTAGAACAGAAGGTATTTCTTTATGGACAGATTTGCATGTACACAGCAGGGATTTTAAAAGGCATTTTAAAGCACCATCTAAGCCCTTTAAGGTTTAGCTGATTTTACAGAAGCAGCTTGATTTTACAGAAGACCGTACTTTGGCAGAGCTACCTGTAACCTTCTTATAAAACACAATTTTAAGTTTCTGAAATGCCAGCTTATTTTGCAGAAAAAATACAGAATTAGTTCTGCTGAACAAACTAATATAGTTTAAAATAAAAAAAAAAAAAAAGAAGTTGCCTATCATCATATGATAGACTAAGCAAAAAGATAACCTGTCCCATCTTCTGCCATTCCCCAGAGTCATGTGGGGAAGAGGAGTGGGAATTTGCTGGTCAAGGAGCAGTGGCCTCTAGAGCCACGGCCCGGGTGAAGATGGATTCAGAGGGACTGCATTAACGCAGCAAATACAGAGGCAACCGTACCAATTAGTGCGAGCTGTTCTCCCTTCCACTCCTCCGCTCTTCTTCAGAGACATTCAAAATGGAAATGCAAAGACATCTCCCACGTCAGCCCCTCTCCAGGGCCACTAGCAGTTCCCTCCGCACCCCGTGTGACACAAGCTTCTCACACTCTGATGCTTTCACAGTACGTCTCAGTATCGGCTCATTCCATCAGCCCCAGTACCTCCTCCCAGGTGTCCCTCTGCACCCATCACATATCTTCTCCATGCCTCTTCCCATCTTCTGTATGGCATTTTATATCCAATTCTTCACCTCAGGCTCAGATGACAGATAAAGCGATGCTATCCTCACCAAATCCTTCCTCAAAAAAAACGGGCCCACCATGATGCTCTTACGAGTAACACTTTTCCTCAAGATAACTCCAACAGCCAAGCCACTCAGTGTTTTCACCTCTTCAGGTAACAGGAAAGTTTTACAGAGAGAATGTCCTTAGTAAGCACTTTATTTCTAGACACAGTACCCCAACTTTCTTTGTTGCAGCACATGATCACAGATCAGAGCAGCAGAGGTGACTTGCAAGGACAGTAGTTGTGCGTGTGTCATTTGTGATGTTACTAAAAGCTACATATTTCTTGCTGTGCATCACCTATAGTATTTTCCTTAGTTCTAAAAAGGAAAAATTTTTACAAAATGCATTTAAAAAATGTGTTAGGGTTTCGTTATGTGGAATCTTTAAAATAAGAGAAAGCCATTTTTTCCCACTACCAAACATATGTTACATATATACCAAGTTCATAAGTAAGAAAGAAGCACAGCGCGCACGACATGCTACAGCACACACAAGCTGCTCCACAGCGCGGGAATGTAAAATGACAGAGCTGTACAACCTGTGACGGTGCTGACCAATCCCTTGATTACTCAGCTGTTCCAAACTTCGATGCTTCAGAGGGCACCACTTGGCTATTTCTTTAAATCCACTGCAGATCCTCCTTTTCGTTTTCAAGCTGTCTTTTTTGTCCATGAATATTTGGAAAAAAGGTTGGACTTCTTTGGTTGGGGTGTTTTGAGGGTTGTTTTTTTCTGGTTGGTGTGTGGTTTTTTTTGTTTTGTTTTTTATACCATCTCCATTGTCTACAATAGTTCAAACCAAGATGGCTATTCAGGCCTGGTTCCTTCAGGACTGGCACCGGTTTCCTGCACAGGAACAGTTGTTTGATCCCCATTCTCCGTGGTTACTATCAAAGCCTGACCCTGCTGTCCATTCTTTAAAACATGTCAAAGGAAAACAGAGAGTATGAAGAGTCAGCTTTTATTAGCAAGTGCCTGCTATTTTCACTGCTAACAACTAGACTTCTGCTTCTTCCTTAAGACCAAGAGTCACTGTAGGCCCCCTCTCAGATCAGAAGTGCAAATTACACAGTCCATTCAGTGTTTTTCCTATGAAACACATCACTGTCTGCACAGATATTAGATCTTGCAGATCACTAACAGGGACTTTTAGAGGATAGATAATACTGTAGGATGGAGGGATAAACACCGTTACATTAAGACAGACTTGTATTGTTTAGTAGGAGTCCATCTCCTAAATCCCCTTAAATATTCATTCTTAGACAATGTCAGGGGATAACAATGGCCTTGGGACTAGATCCCAAGGCTCCTAACGAATATCACATAAAATGAATTTATACTGCATAGTCTTGGGGATTCTGGAACTCACAGACACTCCCAGTATCCACAAGCTGCTCCAGCACACACTGAGCCCGTCAAACACATCACACATACAAACACTTAACAAAAAACTACCTCAGATTCCAACTTACTACTGAAAAAAAAAAAAAAGAAAAGAGACAGAGGGATACTCACCCCTGATTCCTGCACCGCTGCAAAGAAAATGAGACAGACCCATCAAAATGCAGTAAGGCCAACTTTATAGTAATGCATTTTTCTATCATGTTACCTTGTTCGTACGTGTCTGTAGGAGTGGTTGAGCAGTGAGCCTGCATAGGCACACCCCCTCAGGGAGGCATCATTACAGCAGGTTAACCACGGCACACGGAAATGTAGGAATTGCCTTGCAGTTCACCTCTAGCTGGCTCTTAAGGTGTCAGCTCAACATCCAGTGAAGTGAAGACCGCTCCTCAGAACACTATTACAAAACCACCCCTTTAAACACATGCCGTTCATACTTACGTGGCATGTAATTTTTCCTCTTCCTCCTTTGCCAGATAAATAGTATAAAGCCAGCTGCAACAATTAGCACGACAATAGAAACGACAGCTGCTGTAACAGAGGAATGTGAGGAAGTATTCCCGTCCTCTTCTTGTACCAGGCCGTTCTCCTTACGTCTGATGTGAGACAAGAATAATTATGTTCTTAGAACCTTGCAGTGGAAGTGCTGCACTGTTTTTAACATTGCACCTCCACATCCAGGAGCATTCACAAAGGTCTTTCTGACTTGGCGGGTAATCCAAGAAGCTGACTTTTATCTCTTTGTTTTAATGCTCATAAACGCAAATTGATTCTCCTCAGAAGCAAACTCTCACCTGTTCTACTACAGCTAAGGGATGTGTCAGCTGAAACCCAGGTACCCAGAGGAGCGCACTGCTCTTCATGTGTCCAGATCCAGCTCTGTTAGAGCTGTCCGGGAGTCTCCTGTGCAGTGACAAGTTATGACGAGGCTGAAGGCTAAATCTGTCATGTTAATGAGTTTATAAGGAGAGAAGTTAAGCTGTTCCCAAGAAAAAGTGGGACATAAGAACAGGATTCCACACTTGGTGCCTTACTGGAAGCAGGAGACTGCTGTTTCGAAGACAGCAAAATCCAGACCCAAGAGTTAATGAGAACAGTCCTGTGCCCATAAAGACTAAGAGCTGCTTACCCAGGCCACGGTGTACAGCTGTAGGACATGTTGGTTGTTGAGGAGGTTCCAGGAGGACAGGCTTCACACACATTGTCAGTGGTCTTTGTGCCTACAAGGGAGAAGACAACAGGATTTCTATCTGCACCTATGGCTAAGGAGAGCTTCACTTCCGCATCGTCTTTGTAAATGACCAAGTGATCACTGCAGAGACTCTTCACTACGGACAAACGCTCACACACTTCTGTCTCTGCAGACAGGGGGAAAAAAGCATTCTTGGCCACATCAACTACCTCAGCACCTAGGACTTACATGGATTCTGCAAGCTTTCAGCTGCGCACTGGTGCTCTGACAATTACAGTCAGCGCAGTGGACCGCTATACATCATACCAGTATGCGCTGGCCCTATCCATTCACATTGATCCTTCACTATTTGTTTTCTGGATGAACTGCCAGCCTCCTCAAAATCACACTCCAAAGGCATTCCCTGTAAGAAAGGTTGGTGATATTGACGCTATGTTGGATGTTGGCTTACCCCTTTCTTTTACCATAGTGCCAGGAAAGCAGACAGTGTAGGGTTGACAAAGTTCACAGTCTTCAGCCCCCAAATGACTGCAGAAATACCCCGGCAGGCAGCCACACACAGTGTTCTTCGTGTAGGTACACGCTACTTCTGGCACTAGGTTGGCTCCTAAGAGAAATTTACACGCACAGCCACAGTATTTACATGGGAAATGTCAACAGATACAAAAGCAAAAGTCAACATTTAGCCTTGCCTTGATGCACTGGTGAAGAGCACCAGAACTAACAGGAATACTGAAGATGACTCCTATTGGGATGTACAAAGAGAGCCCAGTTCCTCACAGACACAGCATCTTGGGTCACATTATATCTGTCCTAAATGACTTGCATGGCAAAAGCAAAATTCTCCCAACTCAGATGTTTTTAAATTAGCTGTCCTGCT